TCTGCGTCTTACCAAAGATGTGTCGGATTCGGGAGTCGGTTACAGTCAAGGAAGGATTAGCACCCTTGAACCGCCCTTTCGGTACTACGTAATTTCCAGTTGTCTTAATTAAGAAAATTATAATTTTAAATTAAAAGGTAAAATTTGATCATGAATTACTTACCTCTGATTAATTGACGAAAATACCTTAAAAAGTCATAAGATGTGTTAGAGGGAAAAACTATATAAATAAAAAAATGTAGAATAAAAATAAATAGAAAAATAAATAAAATAAAAGGAAAAATAAATAAATAAATGAAATAAAAAAACATATATATATATATAATAAAAAATGTAAAGAAAGCTTCCCCATCATTTCACCGAAAAAAAGGGGGAAAAATAAAGTCTTAAGATAAAAAAAGGGCCCAAACATTTAATGCATACATATAATAAGATATATAATAAAGAAACAAATAAGTGAATGATAAAGAAAAAAACACTAAAAAGATATATAACGGTGCTTAAAAAAATGAGGGAAAAAATAGAAAATACATATATATATATATATATATATAAATGAGTAGAAAAAAGAAAATAATATTATGAATAATAATAATATAATATAAACAAATAAAAAACTAAAAATAAAGGAATATAGAAAATAAAATAGAAAATATAATCAAATATATATATATATAATAATAATAATAATAAAATATATAATAATGAAACGTAATATGTAAAAAAACAAGAAAAATAAATAAATAAAAATAAAATTTTAAAACACAAATTGAATCGGGGGCTAAAAAGGAAATCAAAATCAGAAACCAATTCAAAAGTAAATTCGAGGTCAAAATAATTCTTTAAAAGCAGCGAGGGACCAAAAGGGTAGTTTACCCCATTTTTTTAAAAAACACGCGGGTTCCGGGGTGTATATGGGTCGGGTTAACGGGCCGTATATGTGCCAAAATCTGGTTTTAAAATTTCATTTCTTTCATTCTCTCCAAACAGAACGCCCTCCTCTTATTCTTTTCTCTCAATTGTTTTTCAGTATGAAGAACAAGGGACGTGGTTCCCAGAACACGGCCACCGCGTCGCCTCGCTGCCGCCGTTAAACGGCGACGGTCGCCGTTCATCGGCGGCAAAACCCAATTTTTTCTTTGTTTTTCAAAGCTTTTTAAATCTAGTTTTCAAAAATCAAAATATTTTCTATAAAAAATGAGCCTCGGGGGCTAATCTACAAAAGAAGATCCCGACCCAACCCCTCTGTTCATCGGCTAAAAATGCTCTCTTTGGGTTTCTTTCGACCCAAGGTACAACAAAGACACAAGACAAGAAAAACCACATGCAAATGTATGAAATTTTTTACCTTTCTTTTCGAAATATTTGCAAGAAACCTTCGAAATGACTCTGAATGTTTGGTTGTGATTTGATAGTAATTTTGCTTGTATTCAGTATGAAAATCCCTCTCCCCTTCAAATGGATGATTACATGTGTTATTTATAATATGAAAAAACCTATTTTTAGTATCCTATTAGAACTAGGATTCTAATGCTAGTTGGTTTGTTGATATGTTGGTGATGACCGAGATCTCTGCGCCTAATGATACGGGTTGTTGGGCGAGACGTGCGGCTGTGAGAACTTCAAATGGGGGAAAACGGCACTGGAACGAGGCGTGGAGCTAGGGTTCTGGAAACTTGCTGCTCACGTGGGATTTGGGTCTTGTCGGGCCATGTGCAACAGGCTATTTTATTTGATATATCGGGCCTGCACAAATATACCAAATAAAATTAATAATATTATATATATATGTATAATTATACGATATGATTATATAATATAATAATATTAATAAAAGACGGAATTGAGTGCCTTCACTTTTGAATCTAGAGTACTTAGCGAAATTAAATTCCTCTTCAGATATAATACATGTTGTACATCACTAAGAATTATGATGACACCGTCAAATATCTTCACTTTTATTATTCCTATCCTAACAATTCTGCATGGGGCATTATTACCTATCGAAACAATACTTTTTGAAATATATTCATAGGTTGTAAATCAATCTTGATTGGGACACACATGATAGGTACACCTAAATTCGAAGATTCATTCGTCGCTTGCTTTACAATTGTCGTTAGTTGTAATTGGAAATTGTCCATCATCGCAATCTTCCGCTATGTGTAATAATTATCAAATAGTATCTATTCAAAATTTAAAAAGAATTCCTAAATTTAAGTTATTTTTTTTAAAGAGGGTACTTTGTATTACTAAGGATTACAAAGTAAACCACCTCAAGGACATTATTAAAAAACCTCCATAATCCTAAATGGAGGAAAAAGAGTGTACCTTGAGGTGATAAGGAACAATCAACACAAGAACTAACATCACATAATCCATCCCCCATCCCTACAACAATCCCCCGACATATCATAAATAAGCCAACCCAGACAAACCTAAGGGGGCAAACACAAAACGACATAACCAAAGAAATAGACCAACACCTCTAACGTAACAACAACATCCATAGCTTAAACCGAAGACAAGCATGAGACTTAAGAAAGTCCCTTACAGAAACTGAACCATAGGATAAGTGAGAACTTGAAGCTCGATACTCTAAAGAGCAAGCAAGCTTAAAAAATAGGCATCGGTCGCAAGTAGAATACCCGAAGAAAAAACAGTTTCCAAAATGCATAAGCTACCAAAAATACTCGGGTGAGGGCAAAAGCATAAAACCAAATAACAAGAACTTCACCAGACTGTCCAACAAACCAATTCAACTAAAACATAGCAACACAGAATAGAAGTAGGCACCACTGACAATTACTTCCAGTTTACACCCAACTTCGTTCACTACTGGAATCAATCGTCGGCCGAAGGAAGTTCGCCCAGACCCCGAAAACGCAACAGTACCCTAACTAGAACGAAGGCAAGCAAAAAGAAATGGAAACGCACTTGCAGAACTTCCAAAGGAAACAACACCCAGAAACCACTCCCTGCTACTCTTTGCACTCTTCTTCTTCTGTGATTTAGGGAGATAATTCAACAAAGAGCCTGACTACCATTCTGAAGAGAATAAGTTTTGCAACCACCGTCTCAAATAAGCCCACGTCAGAATAAATAACTCCTTCTAAAAAGGAAGGAATTTTCACTTTGCTAATTGAATATGTTTCAACCCGAATACCTTCCACTCTGCCTTAAAGAGCTGAAACTACTACTACTGGAGCTACTAAAATCTAAAAAAATAGGAGATGGAAAGGGTCATTCAAAATGGTCTGGCTCTCTATTAATTCAACTTATCTACCAACAGAAAAAATGGCCCATTAAATGACAATATGGGCTCAACGAAAAAACAAATGCCGACAATCTCCTCATTACCACAACAGGAAACACATGCGTAAACCAGCTTTACAGGGAACCAACTTCACTTAACTTATTTTTTAGTATTTCTTTGAAACTTTCTTTAATAAAGTTAACCTCGAAAACAACATCAGCATCAGTACCCTCCTGCTACCAGTAAACATTTCAAGTCCGGCGAATGTTGTATTCGTCGCTCCACCATCGGTCGGAGAGCCAACAATGAAAACACAATGCAATACACAAACACAGGAGCGGACAAAGTACAACATCTAAAAGCAACACCGAAGAACTTAAAGCATTCCAAAGCAAACACAAGACAACTGCAGCAACAACACACATATAAAACGGCAGATCACAATGCACAAGACAGACACCACCCACCAAAGCACAGGCCACTGGACAACCACACCAACCAAACAATAATTGTTGAAATGAAATACTCCACCAGAGAACAACTTACAACCAATAATACTTGAGCCACAACAAAACAGACTAACAAAAAACAACTTACTAAAAACCTTAAGCTAAAATACTACTTAGAAAACCACTATAGCTCCTCTAAAAAACCACAACAAAACCCTCAAGACCAAAGCCTTTAACCTCCATAACCCCTGACAGTCACACACCAAACTCAAAACATTCTGGAGATGTTAAATCCTTGAAAAACTCACATTCAAAACCAATATCAATTGCAGATCCAATCCTTGAGCCTATATGATTCCTCTTCTTTAGAAAATACACACTTAGAACCACACCAAAGCAACCCATTATCAGCCATAAACCTTTCCAATGAAAGTGTTTGGTAGAATATCTGCAACAAAGAAAACGTAATCAGCGGAAGATCTAAATCACTCTCCCTCAAACTGTAATTTTTCAAACGAGCAATAGACTGGTTCACTATGGCTTTTACACAAACAGCTTGCATGCAGTATTAACTATCACAAAATGACTCCAGAAGCTGACTAGAACCCACGCAGAGACTCACGATTTTGAAACTAAATCACCAAAAACACTCCAAAAACTCCAGGGCGAGGCCGACCAATCCTTTGTTCAAAGAACAAAAAAATAAGATTCAACATCACGGTGTTTGGCTTTAGAGAACAAGAGAGAAGCGATCAAAAGAGAGCGAGAAAACAACAAGGGCGGTGGTGGAAGCGACCACCACCACCCAGACAACGACGGCGGACTCCCTCCTTGAACCAAGTTTTGTTCGAGTTAGGACTGAACAAATAATATTAATAAAAATTAATTCCTAAATTTAAGTTATCAATGAATGGAGAAATCAATTTGAAAAATAAAATTTTATATGTAAATGACATGGAAAAGAAGATTAGTGTAAATTTTTTGATTAAATGGGATTATTTATAATAGGGTGGAAAGGGGTCTATGAAATAAATTCTCCCTTATATTCTCCGAAGGGATGTAAATAGATAATTTCAGGGTTTTGTATAAAAATATATCACAAAATCTCCTTAAATGTCGGTTCCGTAATCAACTAATAAAATTTGCAATCCATTGAAAAAACAGGAGAAAAAAATTATAGAACTTGTAGGCCATTTAGTCTCCTCAAATTTTCCTTCTTCCAAACAGTTTCCGGGTGGCCATATAAATCTTGGTATTTGGTAATAAATAATAGGAAAGTATAATAAAGGTTGAAATTGATTGAAAATTATAGATTTTGTTTTTGTTTTTTTTGTTAGAGTGCTGCCATGGATATCTTCGAAGAAGCAAGCGTTGTTCGATTACGAAGCCACCACGAGAAATACTTACTTGCGGACGACGATGAGGAAACTGTTTCCCAAGAACGAGGTGGAACAGTGAAGAATGCGAGATGGACAGTGGAATTCGTGAATTCAACCCAAATTCGTCTCAAAAGCTGTTATGGAAAATACTTGACGGCTTCTAACATGCCTTTCCTATTAGGGATGACGGGGAAGAAAGTGTTGCAGACGTTACCGAAACGACTCGATTCTTCCGTCGAATGGGAACCGATTCAAGAAGGTGCCTTGGTTAGGCTCAAAACCCCTTACGGCATGTATTTACGAGCCAACGGAGGGTTGCCGCCCTGGAGGAACCACGTCACACATGATACTCCTTATAGAACATCGCATCAGGATTGGATCCTTTGGTATGTAGATGTTTTACGCTACCGCCGAGACGCGGAGACCCCGACACTTGCTCCTCCGCCTCGTCAAGTGGCGGTTAACGGAATCGATAGGATTGCAAGTTCTGAAGATACAACCTTTTCACTTACCGGACCTAGAATGACTAGACTTGAGGTTTGAGGAAACAAGCTTTTGCACTTGATTTAATCAATCATCTGTGGGTTTATTTTCCTTTTTGTATGCAGTCCGATGACTCGACAATAGTATCACCAAAGGCGTATGAAGGAAGGATTATTAAGTACGAGGTAGTTGATGTTAATGGCGACGTGGATCAAAACATTGGAGAGCGTAGCTTCACTTTTAAAGGGAATAGTGTCGAGGAATTGAAGCAAGCGTTGGAGGAAGAAGCTCCATTGAAGGAAGAGTTCTCTCTTTGTTCTCGTAATCCATTGAATGGAAGCCTCTATCCTCTTCGTCTGCAGCTTCCTCCCAACAATGCCGCCATGCATGTCGTCGTCGTTCCTCTATCCTCTAAAGGTTTACCCCACCAACATACCAAAGTGTTGAACAATGCATCATTTCCACATGCTAACATAATTTTGTTTTCTTTATCCTGCAAAATTTTACCAGTTGCAGATGATCTATGGCTTTGATTTACATGAAGAAACCTTCAACGTCTCTGCTCCAAACCAGCAATGGAATGAGGCAAACTCCATTTTCTTCTGCCATGCATGTGAATGCTAAAGGAATCTTCTCTTTTCTTACTTCTTCACCCATTTGTGGTCTTTGCTCTGTAATGAATTTTTGTTGCAGATTTTTTCTCTCTTCTTCCACGGAATATACTCAATAAGATTAATTATCTTTGTCTTAATTCCAACTTCGTTGAATGCAGTATAATATTACCGTTTATTAATTTATAATATAATAATTTTAAGGAGAATTTATATGTAATTTTACGGTGTAATGAACAAAACGTTCAATTAACTGTTCGTGAATCGTTCATATGACATTTGTTTATTTTTATTTATTAAACTAAATAAATGATTATAAAAAATATGTTCATTTAATAAACGAATGTACACGAATAGAGGTGTGCTAGGATCGTTTTTGTTTACGAACTAGCTCGTTTATGACTCATTTATAAGTTCATTTATCAACTTGTTTATAAGCTCGTTTACTCGGTTCTTTTTCCTTTTATTTATTTACATTTTAAATATCGTTGAAGATAAGGATTAAATTAAACATAAGATTAACTTTGAAGTTCAAACTTTAAAATCTAAAGAACATAAGAACTAGTGCTTTAATTTCACTATTTTTCTTTGATGCCCAATTAAAATGATAAAAAGAGTGTTGGTTGCATAACATTACATGAGCTTTACCGACAATTAATTCAAGTGATAAGTATCTTTATATCGTTTAAGTCTTGAGTTTAAGTCATCGTGTATGCAAAAATATCCCGCTGGAAGACTTACCCACCAAAGTCTTATATGCAACTCGGGTCGGTCCAGATTAGTCACGGCAAAAACCTTGGGAACCAGGAGAACAATAAAAAAGATATTAAACGAACGTTAAACAAATATGTTCACGAACGTTAAACAAATATGTTTACAAATGTTAAACAAATAAGGGCAAATACTTTTAAAAATAAATAAAAATAAAATTTAAACATAAATACTTTTATAAATAAACAAACAAACATTAATAAACTTTATTTATTCCAAACTCAATTATTTATACCCCTAAATTTTAACATGGGGGAGCCATGACCTCTACTAGCCTCTCGTTCAAAGGCGACAAAGCCCCCAACCATGAGCCATCAATACCGCAGTAGCAATAGCAATAGCAGCAGCCGAGGCTGGACCCGTTGGTTAAACCTCTTACAAAGCTGCAACAAAGCAGCTCAAATCAAGCCAATCCACGCCCTTTTAATCTCCCAAGGCCATCACCAAAACCCATATCTCGTCAGCAAACTAATCACCTCCCTTACCTCTCTTTCAACTACCCTCGCCCTCCGCTATTCTTCCCTCATCTTCAACCAGCTTCAAGAACCCAACTTATATATCTACAATACCCTCATCAAAGCTCACTCTAACAGCCCACGCCCTCGAACTTCCTTTCATTACTTCAATCTTCTTTTGAAGGACGAAACGACAATACCCAATTGCCAAACCTTTAGCTTAATTCTTGTTTCTTGTGCGAAAACTTGTTCTTTGTTTTCAGGAAAGCAAATCCAAAACTGGGTGTTAAAAAACGGAGTGTTTTCATCGGATTCTTATGTTCAAACCGGTGTTATTAGGCTTTACGTTGAAGCCAGTCTATGGAGTGATGCCAGGAAAGTGTTCGACGAAATTGCTGTCGTTGATGTTGTTAAGTGGAATGTGGTTATGAGTGGGTTATACGGTGTGGTTTGGGACCCAAGCCTTGGGTATTTTTAAGGAAATGTTGGTTTCCGGTTTGGAGCCTGATGAGTTCTGTTTGACTACAGCTTTGACAGCTTGTTCACAAAGTGGGAATCTTTGGGAAGGGAAATGGATTCACGAGTACTTGAAGAAAAAGAAAAATCATTTGGAACTTGATGTGTTTCTTGGAACAGCTCTTGTTGATATGTATGCAAAGTGTGGATGTTTAGACTTGGCCGTGGAAGTGTTCCAAGGGATGTCTACAAGAAATGTGTTTTCATGGGCAGCCATGATCGGAGCTTTTGCTGTTCATGGTTATGCAAGGGAAGCCATTCATTGTTTCGAAAAGATGCAAAATTATCGTATTAAGCCCGATGGAGTTGTTCTTCTTGGTGTTTTGACAGCTTGCCGGCATGAAGGGTTTGTCGAGGAAGGTTTATTTTTGTTGAATAACATGGAAGATAGATATAGGATTGTGCCCAAACATGAACATTATAGTTGCGTGGTGGACTTGCTTTGCAGGGTAGGTGAATTTGATGAAGCTTTAAAGCTCATAAAACGAATGCCAATGAAACCGCTTGCTTCTGTTTGGGGCGCTTTATTGAATAGTTGTCGGATTCATAACAATATCGAACTAGCTGAGCTTGCTGTTAAAGAGCTTCTAGAGGTGGAAGATTGTGATGAGGATGAAGAAGATGCAGCTCTTGTGCAGTTATCCAACATTTACTTCAGTGCTCAGAAAAGTGAAGAGTGTTATAGGATCCGTAGGATGATCGGTGACAGAGGGCTCAAGAAAGCACCAGGGTGCAGTATGATCGAGGTCGATGGTAGGAAAACTGAGTTTGTTTCAGGTGATGTATCGCATCCGCTCCATTCTCAAATTCATGCTATACTGAGGCTACTCTTCCCAGGGGACCCTGATGACACCTTCTAGAATATATGGATCTCAGCAAATGGCAACAATGTCAGCACGTTGCAAATCAACACACCTAAGAATTACATTCGATCGTAGATCTGTATTAATGAACACTCATCTGAAACTATAGAATTTTATCAAGATGGTAGCAGTCAATTCTTTGCTACAATGGAGCCAGCTGAGTCAATCTGAAATTTTCTTGTCTAAGTAACCATTTCTTACCAATTTAACAAGCAATTTCTTGTTTGATTGCTAACATTTTGCAGTGATTTGTTTAGAAAACACCAAGTTTCCAGAGCTACTTCTTTTAAATTGAACTGAACTCCTTGAACAATTGCAGACTCAATTTTATATTATGGACTCTCTTACTGTTAAGTAATAAAATCATCACTAGACAAAACAATTAGTCTAAACCTTTTTAAAATCACAAGAAATACAATCACTCTGACATACACGTGATATTTATAAGGGACAAAACTCATGATCTTCATGGGACAAAGTTATTCAATTTGACTTTTTATTAATCCCGAAATTTAACTTTTTATTCAATTTGATCCTTAAACTTAAACTTTATCATACATTTTAGTCACTAACGGAAGTCAAATTCATGGACCAAGTTGGGAAATAAATACTCAATTTTGTGACTAACGTGGAGTGTTGCAAAGTTTATGGACTAATGTGAAAAAAACTAAAAAATGAAGGACTAACTGTTGCTTTAAGAAGAATATTCCAAGTTTTCCTTCTATTCTAGGTTGAACCTTTCTAAAAACAAGCCAGCGAGCGCCACCAAAACAAAATTAGTCTTCCTTTGACCCGTCAACAACCTCGGCCCTCAATTTCACGCACTTCTATTTCCATTTTGAATCTAAAAGATGTGTAGTAGATTTATTTAAAATTTCATTTTAAAAAAATATTATATAAATTTAATTTATTTTTTATTTTGCACAAACCAAACGACTTGTCAGTAAAATATTTGTTATTATTCACTAAAGTTTCAAATTCAAACACTTACAAAAATTCATACATACACAATATGAGATCTCAATCAAATAAATCAATTCAATAATTGTATACAAGTAAAATTGTCAAATCTATCTCCAGGAGGCTTGTGAGATGTTGACTTTATGTTTTTTAAAGTTAATATTTCATAGGGTTCAAATATTTTTACCGAATTTATTCATAATTTTTTTTAGATTTATGTTTCCTAAAGAAAATCTTTAAGATCTCATTTAAAATTAACAAAAACAACTCGCACAAAGGTTGATTAGGAGATTTCAAGTTTCTTAATAACTTAAAATAATTGTAAGTTAGATTTTGTTTTGTAAAAATATTTTAAAATTGTTTCATGGTTATCTAAAGACAGAAATCTTTTTCATATATTTTATATTAATATACTCCCATAATAATCGGCAATGACCCACATTAAAAGTGTATGATAACATGTGATTTGTGAGTTGTAGCATGTGAGTTGTTGGTTGGCAATTTAGTGAGGGTATTCAAAGATATCGTGTAGAATAACATTAAAGGTATTTAAGGGACACTCATATATATATATATATATATATATATATATATATATATATATAATTTTATATTAGGAATGTGTTAACTGAGATTTTTTTTAATAATATGAGATTATTACAAGATAATAATTGTTTAAAATTTTCTTAACAATTGATAATACATATAACATGCAAATATAGTGTTTGAGTAAAGGATATCTAGAGAGAACAATATGCCTTTTTATTACTTAAGTCACTTAATATGTTCTAATAGGAAGAATTCTAAATATTAAGAATTAAACGATTAGTTACTTTATTTTTAAATGATTTTTAAACATATTAATGATGTGATCTTATTCGATCAAGTCAGATTCACATATAAAATGTTTGAAAATACATAATAGTAATCTTGTTAACCAAAATATTTTATCTATGATGGACTATGATGGAATACAAATTTATAATTTTTATTTAATTTATTATTTTTCGCACTTCTTAAATATAAAATGATTAGATTTTCTAAGTCACCCACTTGTCTGAACCCAGCGTTTTGAAAGATAATGTTTTGGGTCCAAATACATCAGTACAATTGTATGGAAAATGACACACGCAACACCAAATTCGTCACACGTGAATTTACTTTTTATATAAAATAAATTTCCAAATTTCTATTAAAACTTAAATAAAAAATAAAAAAATACAAATAATCATTAAATCATATTGAAATAATTATTTTAATTATTAATGAATTAGAAGTCGTAAAATTATCGTTAAATTTTTTAAACGATTATAAAATGATCATTAAATGTTATCAAATTATTACAAAATATTACAAAATAAATTTTAAATTTATCAGAATTTACCATTATTTTATAATATACAGTGACGATTTTATAATAATCCTATAAATATAATGATCATTTTATAACTGAAATGATCATCCAGCTCAGTTGGTAGAGCATAAAGTTCTTAACCTTGAGGTCGTGAGATCGTGTCCCACGGAGGGTATTTCATAATTCGGAAGTCTTTATGGAAGTTGCTCTCAACCTGATGTTGAGAGTAACCTACCATCTTACATTCCTTTTACCTCATACATATGAAAAAAAGAGATATCAAAATCATTTTATAATTTTTAAAATTTGAATGATTAATTCAACATATTTTAGTGAAACAAAAAGGCTGTTAACTTTACACGTCACCATCAGTTTACCCCAAATCAAAATCATCAGCCACTTTGCATATTCCAGAATCCAAAAGCTCTCGTCTCCAAACATCCCCCAATAAAAAAACATTGTTAATTTGAAATAGAGATAAAAAAATAAAATAAAATCCGCTGATATTTTTATTTATTTATGTATGTATGTTTGGCTCCAAAAACCTCCTATTTCATTTTCTTCTCTAAAATATTTATTTTTTTTCTAAGCTGAATCGCTTCTCTGTTCATATCTTTTTTTGTTTTTGCTTTTTTTTCCCATTCAACTTCTTATAGCTCTTCGTACCTATTCGTATGCGTATTTCGTACAGAATACGCGCCACTGGAGGAACTTCCGGCTGCGATTGGCGTTGTGGCGGTGATTGGTAGCTGAAGAGTTCAATTTGGTGTTGTTTCACCGCTTTTGTTCGTTGAAGCTAGTTTAATTTCCCGAGCGAGCGAAAGAGATGGGGGGAGGAGATGGAGAAGAAATTAGAGGACATAAGAAGATAACAGTTGGAGTCTGCGTCATGGAAAAGAAGGTGAAATGCGGAAGCGAGGTTTTTGTTTCTCTTTTGTTCGTTCAGCTTTTTTCTACTAAATATATCAAAATTATACTTTTTTAAAAATGAAAAATTGTTAAGAGAACGTACGAGTTATATAGTAATTAATTTAGTATATATTGCTTTGTTTCACTGCTTAAATTTACAAATTTTAAATGTTTTCGTGTTTTGATTTTCAGGTTTTTTCAGCTCCAATGGGACAAATTCTGGACAGGCTTAAGGCTTTTGGCGAATTTGAGGTAGATCAGATTTACTTTTAGTTTATATTTAAATAAAGCCGCCTTTAAAAAAAAATTGAAGTGAATTTATGAAATGTGAAATAGTTCACGAGAAATATATCTGCTTATTCGTGCGATATATATATTTTTATTTTCTTACGAGGATAATTATGATTTTATTATTATTATTTTTTGGTGTAAGTTCTATATTTTTAGTTCCAAAGCAATGGGAATTCGTTAGTGCGTGTACGCATGAAATTGCGCGTGTTAAAAGTTGTGTTGCTTTATTCGTATGGATCCCTTGCATTGCATTTTTTTATATGAAAGTAACCCCTTGCACTGCAATGTTTCTTTGTTTTTGATCTTTTTGTAGATTATACATTTTGGCGATAAGGTTATTCTTGAAGAACCGATAGAAAGGTGCATTTTCAGCTAATTAGTTGGAACAAGCTGTCTCTGATTTACATGTGAAATTGTTAATAATGTAGGTTATAATTGGCTTTATCTTGCTTATTGGAACACTTTATTTTTCCGTTAAGCATTGCTGTTTGAAATCAATGTGTCTAACATGTATTGAGACATGTTTTTAAGCGTATGTTCCTCCAAACGTGTCTGATACACGCTTATGTCTGAACTTCTCTCGAGTCTAAGTCCTGATAACATATGGTGTTTGTATATGTATATGCCTATTTTATTTTCTTGTGAATTTCAATAGTTTAAATGCTAATGTTGTATAAAAATAGGGAAAATATAAAATAAGTGCGGAGGAGGTCCAAAAATTTGCAAACTAAGTGTCTTGGTCAAACCTGCTCAAACTGGATGCATTTATCTTGAAAATTTTGAAGTCCTTTTGGCAGTTTCATCTCCCTTTGATGAACTGCGTGACATTTGTTTTTCTTCCATAAGGTAGAGCTTGAGTTGATTAACTATGTGACTGAAGATCAGTCCCTTGTTTGACATTTGACTCTCTCCCTCGCTCGTCTTCTAGGAGGATTGTGTGATTTCTAGGAGGGAAATAAGGTAGAGGATTAGACAGAGAGACACGTAGGAGTGCATTACCGATGAATATAATTCTTGCTATTATGGTTGAGATTCATGTTGCTTCTCTTCTGTATTTGGGTTGAGAGGTTCTTTGTCATTGAATTGTCTAATTTATTTTAATTTTGCATATTTCAGCTGGCCAATCTGTGATTGTTTGATTGCATTTTATTCCTCTGGGTATCCCCTTGAGAAAGCTGAAGCATATGCTGCTTTAAGGAAGTAAGTTCTTTTATATTTATTTATTTATTTTGTATGCTTGTATTCTATGTGCAAGTTTCAAAATAAGATACCATTCCATTTCAAAGTTGTTAGAAATTTACTTAATTTTACATTTTATTAAGATTATTGTAGATACTTTGTTTTTGGTGATTAATGATCTAGGCAACAATACTACTTAGACATGATTTCCACATTGGGAAAGTTGTGGAGCCTACTTGGGCATAGCTTCCATATTGGAAAAGTTGACATTGGACATCACTTCCCCATTGAAAACACTATGGTGCCAACATTGGGCACTGTTAGAATCAGCCAACTTGGGCATAGCTTCCATATTGGAAAAATCTGTAATTAAAGTAAGAAAAGGAATTATTCATGATAATTACGATTGGGTCTTGGATCTCAATTGTCAAGCATCAGCATGTGAAGATTGCTCCATCATTCCATCAAAATGTAGAAGATTTAGGCCTTCACAATTGAAATATATTCAGGACTCTATGGAGATAGAGTTGATTACGGAATGCTCAAGAGCAGCACATAGGTGATGATTCAGTTAATTTCTCTAATCGAGGTAGGAGAATTAAAACCTGGGTAATGCATGAGTGCAATAGGAGCCACCTTTGTAAAGTGTCATGTACTAGTGTACTATCATTTGAGTCTTTTACTAGTATGTAGACCTGCACTAAGTTTGGCCTTATTTTATTGAATTACAGTCTTGTGGTGTCTTCATCTGATTATTCATCTTAAATATGATTATTTCATCAGAACCAATATTTGAAGATTGTAAATTTGATTTCTGTCATAGTTTCTAATTCTTTAGTCTATACAATTGTCTTTTTTTTCTGGCAAATTATATAATTGTCTAATGGTTTATTACTGTGTTTTGATCATTTTAGTGTGTTTTATCGGTAAACTTTTTCTGTTCTCTATATAATAATCTTTTATACCTAGTAAGCAGTAATTAATTATGTTTTGCAACTGTTCTTCTCTATTATTCAGACCGTTCCTTGTGAATGAGTTGGACCCACAACGCCTTCTCCATGATCGACGGAAGGTTTATGAGGTATACATCCTAAACTTCCATCTTGGTGTCAAGGTTTTTGATCCATTATCAACTTAGGAAACCAAGACCACTTTCCACCTAAGCCAGGGACCTCAGGACAGTCACTGTATATTGCCCTTGACCTTTGAGATGTTGAGAAAGGAGACCCTAATAGTTGTTTTCTTCCCCCGCCCTGCCCCCCGCCTCAATGTTTTAACTTTGGAACCGATTGACAGTAAGGTTAAGTCTTGACCATAATTGCTTAAAGCTAATATTCTTTCAAGTCTTGTGCTTGACTGAGAACTAACCAGATAAGTGGTTGAAATGTATCACGTTAATATAGCAGTTGATTGACTAAAACTGAACTATTTAATTTTGATTCTAGCGGCTAGAAATGTATGGGATTCCTGTTCCAAGATATGCCCTTGTAAATAGAGAAGAACCATACCAAGAGCTGGATTATTTTATTGAAGAAGAAGATTATGTTGAGGTCCATGGAAATCGTTTTTGGAAGCCATTTGTGGAGAAGCCTGTTAATGGTGAGTTTGGCCTTTATATATTTCCTTAATCTTCTTGCATATATTTGCTTTTCACCATATCCAGAGAATGAGTTTAATTCGGTTCTTTGTGACATTCTTCTTGTTTCCATAAAGCTTGAACTTCCTTGTATGTTTGATCATGAAAAAGATAAACTAGCGGAAATTTCATTTATTGCTCATTTCTGCATGCAGTTAATTTTTGAAGCCTAATACATGATGCTTGAGAAGGTTTTTTGTTCTTTTGTACTTCATAATTGCAATAGCAGTGTTGACCCTTTTTCCAGTACACATGCTGACAACTTTATTCTGTTCTTTCTTGAAGGGGATAATCATAGCATAATGATATATTACCCAAGCTCAGCAGGTGGAGGCATGAAGAATTTGTTTAGGAAGGTCTGAATACTTGTTTGAACTTTTGGCTACAACTTTTATATAATTTTTCATCTTTGATATGAATTTTATAAGCAAAATCGTTATTTGGAAAATGCGTTTTTCCCCCTCATTTTCTTTTTATATGTGGCAGCCAATATCCTAAGAGCTGTCACGTGATTGTTCAAGTATTCTCTCTGATAAATTTAAATTCTAATGTGGAACGGATTTTCTTCTTTATTTATTTTTAGGTTGGGAACAGATCAAGTGAGTTCCATCCTGATGTTAGAAGAGTAAGACGGGACGGTTCTTACATATATGAGGAGTTTATGCCGACTGGAGGAACAGATGTCAAGGTTGTGCATTTCGGTGAAAAAAAAATTCTAGCTAATTTATTGTTCTTTAAAACCATACTTGTATGAAACTAAATTATTTTGATGTTGCTAAACTTTTTTGCACTCAAGAAGCATACTCTTTGAATGGGTGAGAGTGGAGGGAAATAGTATATCAAGTGTACCTCACGTTTGCAGTTTCTTTGACCTTTAATTCTATTAATCCAGGTCATAGTTTGGCAGTGGTTTTGTATCGTTAACAACATCTATTCTACTTGCAGATCATACATGGGGTTCTTGTGTTGGTTTTTTTTTTTTTTTGAGATTCTGCTTTAGCATTAGCCAAATACTCTTACTGCTGCTCCTCTCTCTCTCTCAAGTTCGTCTGATCATCTCGTCAAATGAATGTAGGTGTATACTGTTGGTCCCGAATATGCTCATGCAGAGGCTAGGAAGTCTCCCGTTGTTGATGGTGTTGTTATGAGAAACCCTGATGGCAAAGAAGTAAGTATTTTGCAATATATTATCCGAAGCATGTTCTCCACTTCTTCTGTTTGATGGATGCACGAATGCGTATCCAACAATCCCTTTATTTGATATGAACAGTTTCTTTTAATAATTTGCTTCTTTGTCAATGCTTTTTTTTGATAGGATTAGTATGTCTCATTAAAAAACCCCTTCATGATTAACGGAACTTGAAAATAGTTTTTTAATCAGCGGAAGGAGGAAAAGAGTGCCCTAGGATTTCATTAACCTCAAATAATTACAAAGTAATACAAGGTCTAATCTCCCTCAAGAGATAGAAAACCAAAAAGAAATTGCCCTCAACAGAACATAATTATCAACCAATACCAGCCTTAGCTAGGACGTCCGCCTCTATATTGGCTGTCCTACTAACCCATCTAATAAGACCTTCATAAACACTAGGCTTTTGAATAATGTCTTTAACAATTTGAACATAAACGACAGGACATGAAACAATATCCTTAACCCAGCCAATTGCCACCTTACTATCACTATCGATAATCAATGTATCTTTAAACCTATGGCGAATAGATTCATAAAAATCTAAACCCTTTAGGATAGCTTTCAATTCCATCAAAGTTGGAGGCCCCGGACCAGCAGGCTCTTTGAAGAAGCCAAGAATCGAACCAGACATGTCTTTCAGAACACCAATTTGAACATAAACGACAGGACATAAACAATATCCTTAACCAGCCAATTGCCACCTTACTATCACTATCGATAATCAATGTATCTTTAAACAACCTATGGCGAATAGATCATAAAAATCTAAACCCTTTAGGATAGCTTTCAATCCCATCAAAGTTGGAGGCCCCGGACCAGCAGGCTCTTTGAAGAAGCCAAGAATCGAACCAGACATGTCTTTCAGAACACCACCTAAACCACTCCTCTTCCAATCACTAGAAGTAGCCGCATCCACATTAAGTTTAATAAAACCCTTTGGAGGAGGGGACCAAGGAAACTTAGTTGAAATCCGATTAGAATGGACGAGCAAGAATCCACTAAGGAAGGTCCAATAAAGCCTTGGATAGAAAAATCTGAGTTTCCCTAGCTAGAAACCATGAAGCAAGTCTGCACCTTGCTAGAAAGAAAATTTATGCTCGATCAAGCTTCCCTCCTTCGAACAATATAAAATTCCTAGTCTTCCATATTGTCCATAAAACCACTCCAGGGATAAATGACCAAATAAGAGAGTTGGTCTTCAAGTCAGTCCATGCTAGTAGGAATCTTTTAGCATCTTCATGAAAAACAGACTGAAATTCCAATAGCCCATGAATTTAGTCCATATTGGCCAAACAACCGAACAGGAAAAAAATAGATGAGATGAAGACTCTTCTTGTAGATTACAAAAAGGACACAAAGTATCATTTATGCCCTGAACACCTCTCTTAACCAGAGCTGTCTTCACTGCCAGCTTCTTTAAGATAACTTGCCAAAGAAAAGTCTCCACTCTTGGAGGCAGCAGGCCCCTCCAAACAATAGACTTCCAAAATTTAGCTTCCTCCGAATCGGAAGTACCTGAATAAGATAGATTGACACATGATTTAACAGTGAAAACCCCTTCTCCAGTCCCCTTCCAAAACAGTCCATCAACAGCATCAGCGGAAATAGAAAAATCTGAGATAACAACCATCAAGTTTGACCATTGCTCAAATTCCCAGTCATTCAACTCCCTTCTCAACTGAACGTTCCAAAACCAACCCCCTGAGCTGTATTCCCTAAACTAAAATAATCTTCCAGTTTTGTTCACTGCAATAGAGAAAAGTCTAGGGAACATAACCATCAAAGGATGATCCAATGCCCAATTGTCTTGCCAAAACCGAATATTCCTCCCATTACCAATTTTATAGCTATATTTGCTTCTGATACTACAACCCATCGAATCAGCTTTAAAATGATTACTCACCATAGATCTCCATATCCAAGAAAATTTAGGAGAAACATTACTGTCAAACTGCATCAAGGAAGGGTCCAATTTATATTTGATGCAAAGCATTTCCCTCCAAATCGCCTTCCTCTCAATAGCAAACCTCCAAGCCCACTTTTCCAATAGAGCCCTATTTATCACATTTAAATTAGGAACTCCCAAGCCTCCTTCAATTTTTGGTTTACAAACGTCGGTCCAGCTTACCCAATGGATCTTTTTCCTATCTCCACCACCCCATAAAAAATTTGACATAATAGAATTGAGGGTTTTGTATACTGAAGCTGGAACCTTGAACATTGACAAAAAGTATATAGGGAGTGAACATAGGACTGATTTAATCAGAACCAGCCTGCCTGTCAGTGACAAAGAGGAGCCTTTCCAGCCCGCTAACCTCTTATTGAAGCTTTGAACCATTGGATCCCACAGAATGTTGGAGTTTCTGTGTGGACCAAGAGGGAGTCCCAAATATTCTGAGGGAAAAGAACCCACTGAACACCCAATCGTAGCTGCCAAATCCTTAATTTCCTCTTCCTTTAAGTTCACCCAAACAATTTACACTTCTTCAAGTTCAACTGAAGTCCAGAAATAATCTCAAACACTCGAAGCACCCTCTTCACATTCAAGATCTGTTTTTTCGACGCACCACAGAAAATTATAAGGTCGTCAGCAAATTGAAGACGTGTTAAATTAAAATTCCTTTCCTCATTTCTAATGACCAAACCCGAAAACCCCCCCTGAAACAGCCTTAAGTATCAATAAATTCAAGAGTTCCCCAACTATATTGAACAACAATGGAGACAAGGAACAACCTTGACGAAGACCCTTATCCATTGGAATTTCCTCGGTTGGAACCCCATTTACCAAGACTGAAATAGTTGCTGATGTGATGCACTTCGAAATCCAACCTATCCATCTAGAACCAAAGCCCATTTCCTTCATTATTCTGAACAAGATAGGCCAGTCAAGAGTATCATATGCCTTCTTGAAATCAGCTTTAAAAACACATCCTTTTAAACCATTATTCTTCCAAAAGTCAATCCCTTCATTGGCTATAAGGGAGCAGTCAAAGATTTGTCGACCGGGGATAAAAGCGAATTGACATGGACTGATCAAATCTGAAATGCAGCTCCTCAATCTCCTTGACAGACATTTAGAGAGGATCTTGTACAAACCACCAACTAAGCTTATGGGTCTAAAATCATCCAGACCACCAATATTTGAAATCTTTGGAATAAGAGTGATGAATGTGTGATTTATTCCATGTTCCCATTCCTTCCCCAAGTAAAAATTATGAAAGAATTTCATAATATCTTCCTTAAGGACCTGCCAAAACCTCTTGAAAAATCCCAGATTAAAGTCATCAGGACCCGGAACTTTGTTGCTACCACAAGACTTCACAATATCCCAATCTTCCTCCTCTGAAAATTCCTGCTCTAAGAACTGAATCTGCTCCATAGAAATTCTGGAAAAATCCAGTTTTAAGTCATCAATTTTTGAAGTAGTTCGGTCATTGTAGATCATAAAAAAATAATCCTTTACTATGGCCTTAATTGCAGTTGGGTCTTCAACTGTTTTTCCTCTAAAATTTAGTGCAACCAGGGCATTCCTCTTATTCCTAACCGTAGCACAGGTATGGAAGTATTTAGTATTGCGATCCCCATCTTCAATCCATTTAGATCTCGACTACTGAAACCAAATCTGCTCCTGGATCTTGTGAAGTTTCCACAATTTTACTCTGTAATTTTTCAACTATGTTAATACCTCACTGTCGAAAGCACCTTGCTTCTGTTGAATATCAACCTCTATTAACAAAATTTTCTTCTCTAACTTAGAAATCAAGGCTCCTGGATACTTATCTCTGTTTCTAGTCCACTTCTTTATTGCATGTTTGGTGTTCCTTAAAAAACTAAAAGCACATGCCTTCTTCTGACTTATCTTACAACTCTGAATAGAAGAAATAACCAGATCCTCAAAACCCTCCTCATCCATCAAATAGTTGAATAGTCTAAACGGATTTTGACCCCAATCCACTCCTTTATTCGCAAGAACTATAGCATTGTGATCTGACAATGATCTTGGTAGAAGAGACTGCAAAATGTACGGAAACAATGCTAGAAAATGACAATCAACCAAAAAACGATCCAATCTTACAAAAGTGGGATTCTCTTGGTTATTACACCAAGTGAACCTACCCCCATTCAAAGGAAGATCAATTAAGCCCGTATGAAGAATGAACTCATTAAAGATCTCCATTGAACTCCTACTTTGACCTCTTTCCATCTTCTCATCTTCTTGTAAATAGACATTGAAGTCCCCTCTCACACAAACGGGATAAATCTGTCCACTAAAAAAACTGCTTAATTCTTAAAAAAAACCAGATTTCTCTCCTCCACTGTTGGACCGTATACATTGTTGAAACCACATCTGAAATTATTATTCCGAAATTTACCAAAAGTAGCTATAAATCTCCTGCTAATAAACTGACTCTCCAACTCAAAAATATTGTCATCCCGACAGCACAACAGGCCCCCCGTTGATCCAATTGAAGGAGATTCCAAAACTCCTTTCAGCTTATTAATCCCACTTCTAAAAAAAGACCTCTTAAATTTCTCAGTTTTGGTTTCTTGCAGCCAAAGAAAAGTAGAATTTAAGCTAGTGACTAAATTCTGAACAACCCTCTTTTTTTCTTTTTTCCCCAAGCCCCTAACGTTCCATGAACAAATTACTAACTTTGACATCTTCATAAAAGGAAATAGTTACAAACAAAACCCTCAATCAACCAAATCTTGATTAACCCCATTCAAGCCTTTCTCTAGAGCTATGATTTTTCCAAAAAGGCTTCTTTCCCTTCCTTAAAAGACACCCCCAAAAGCTTACTAACCTCCCAAGTTTCTACAGCTTCTTTAAATAATATCGAGAAAGTTGGGGAGGATACTGTATCAATGCTCACTTGGTCAACGGCTGCTCGAAACAAGATCCTTCTAGTTCTTCTGTTCCTTCTAATTAACAAACCAGATTTGAATCTTAAGCATTCACCTTCTGAAAAGTAACCTTCAATCTCCCTCTCTACGCTCCTATCCCCAGAACCATTGTCAATGCGAGGAAGAAGACTCCCCTCAGCAATGTGCTCTGATGATAAACAAAGCTGATTTTTAGTATTGGAATCCACATCAAACTTCCTCTGCGTAATTATGATACCATCTGTTTCAGTCGAGAGGTTCAACAAATCCCCAAACCAATATCTTCTTTCCCTCGACCTGCTATAGACCCTTTTGCAACTGCTCAAACTTCTAGTTTCCAGCACATCACTCTCTGTTGTGAACTTTCTTTTAGAACGATGTAACTGTCTCCCCTTGAGTAGATTCCTAAATTAGTTGAGACCAGTTCAACCGACCTTAAGCTTTCTTCTTCGGCCTCTATTTCTGTATTAACTGGCTTCTCTACAATTGGGCTCGTCTCCAATACGTTAAACATTTTCCTGTTTTTTTCTGCTAAATTAAGGTTCTCAACCAATTCCCCAAACTTATTAATTGTAAATGCTGGCCCAGAAATAAAACCCGAAAAATCTTTTGACCCAGATTGCCCAGAGTCTTCAGAATGGGCCTGAGATCCATCAGCCGAATAATTTTGACTTCTAATCCCCAAACTTGCAAACTCACCAACTTTTAAACTCCCAACATTCTGACTTTCTGGCAGATCACAATTAATATCTTTCCTATCTAAGGAAAGTCTTGCTAGCTGTCTGTCCTCACTAACTCCTCCAGAAACACGAAACACTCCCTGGTCAATCCAATTGTCCACTGACAGACGATTTTTCCTTGCTTCACATGTCTCACCTTCCCTATGATCTGACAACAATCTGTCTTCATCCTCCTCAGACATAATCTCTTTAAAAAATGCCTCACCGGAATCTTCCACCGGAAAATTACTGAAAAACGAACTTGAATACTCACTTGCTGATCCAATCTTGATACTTACTTTGAATGATCTTCCATAAAATCCAAGAGTGATCACCTCTGGAACATCAAAGGGGCTTGCCACCCTCAATAAAATTCTTGCCATTATGAGGTCTTCTCTTTTCCTTGTACTATCATGAATACCTACCATATTGCCCCATCTACCAGCCAACTTCTCGAAGAAAGATTCATTCCAGCATCACAAAGGAACCCGTATTAATTCTGCCATGCAGAAGGCCATTGGAACTCCGACTTCATTCAGTAAAGGTTCCACTCGTTCAAACCACTGTTTTAAAACCTCTTCCTTGTTGCTCCATAAATCCAGCATCTCATGAAATTTAAGAACTAAAACGCAAGAATTCCATACTTAACTCCATCTAACAATTTGAACATCATAGCCTTCTTTTAATAAGGCATTCTGAATGAACTCAACTTGAAAATAGTATTTGATAATCCCTGTTAACGACCTCTTCACCCAGTTGTCACTTTCTGATGGAATATGCATCTCCAAAATATTTTTCTTGACATTCCTCCTTTGGATATCCTCAGACAATAGTTCTTTGTTCCCCCTTGTATTCCCATTTGACATCAGAGCATCCTTATAAGTTCTGTCGTCCCTTCTGCTTCTGTTAAGATTTTATCTTTCTCTTGATTTTGAAGAATCTGCATTAATCTGACCAGAAGCCTTGTTTGAAAAAGTATGCACTACCCCTGACCTTGAACGTTCATCCTTAAATCTGGCAGGACTAACTGAGATCTTCCTTCCATCAATCACAACCCCGTTTAACTCATCAACAACCCTCTTCAAATCTTCCTCCCTCTTAAAATGAACAAAAGCAAAGGTGGAAAATCTGTATTTTGGATTTCTAATTTGATTGGGAATAAAAACTCTCATAACAGGACCATGGACTAAGAATATTTCCCTAAGCGTACGACGAGAAACCCTCCTACTCAGGTTATCGATAAATGCCGACCAACACTCATCGGGAACTGACTTTTCTTTCAAATTCTCTCTCTCTCTCTACGTTTTTCTCTCTCTCACTCATCTTTTTACGAGAGCCCAAGTTTCTTCCTTCTTTGTCGATGCTTGATTCTAAGCAACCTTTGTCCGTTAGTTTTTCAGTGTTTTTTCTTGTAGACAGTGAGTGTAATTTCAAGTCAAACCTGTGTGAAGTTGTTTTGTTATCATCTTTGAGAGTTGATGCGGTTGATGAAACCATATTTGTTTGGTTGGACTTAATTATCAAGAGAATGAGCCAGTCAGGTTGTGTTATGTGAAAGAAATTAAAGTCAGTCCATTTGATTTAAAATTTTGAAACTTGGTATACATAAGACATATGCCAAAGAAGGTAAACATGTCGTGCTCTATGATCCACAGATTGTTTTACATGTTCTAATTATTTGCAATAACTTAAATCATTGCCCATACCTTCACAACCCCGTAGGGTGAAAAATGTAAGATATTTACGTGTAAATAAAGTAGTTTATTCCTAATATAACTCTTGTATAGATATGTTATGTAATTTAGATTAAGTTAAAACTCTATCCTAAACTCTATCTTATCAGTGAGGAGTTTGTATAGGTGTTGAAGTTCTAATCTAACTCAACTACCTTGTACCAAGTCTTTAAAAGACTATTTTGATTGTAGAAATAAAATGAACAGAATATCAGTTTCACAAAAAATGGCTAGTAAAATGCAAGATTAAATCAATAGTTTAGTAAAAATCATATGTAAAATGATAGTGAGCACGATCTCATATGCAAAAGCTTCTAGTTTGTTTGTATCTTTCTGTAGTAATGGTTTAAATTATTTGCTAGGATTTGTGGCCAATCGCTTACCATTAAATGTCCAATGAAAAGTTATGGAAAGGTTAATTAATTATTATAGAAGTCTTCAACATGTAGTACTAGTTTAATAATAATAAAAAAATACATGATGTTTGAAACACATCTTTATTACCTATATGACAGGTCAGGTATCCTGTGTTGCTAACGCCTAATGAGAAACAAATGGCAAGGGAAGTTTGCATGGCATTTAGGCAAGCGGTATGTTGAGTGAATCTCCTTTGCAAAAGATGCCTTAGTTTTCAACCATTGTGGATATTTAACCACTTATTTTCTGCAAGTGTTACTGGAAACTACTCATCTTTGTTTTTTTTTTCCTTTCCACTATGGCTTTTTTCCGCTTCTTCAACCTTTAAAACTTGGTTTGCTTGAATTTGCTCATGGGAATTTCTTTAGATATTATTTACACAGTTCTTTATCTTGGAATTTCTTTTTTAGGAGTTTGTTTCCATTTAAGTCCGATATAAGGGCAATAAAAGATTTGTGTACATGTTGGACTTAATATCAATTTGGTTTATGAAGAATGGTTTCTTTCAATTGAAGAAACTTAATGTATGTGTTCTTTTGAGGTTGTCTAGATGTTGCAGATCTCTTGTAATTGAACATAAAAAGATAGGGTTTATTAAGAATTATGTGCTTTCCTTTACTATTTCTATAAAATATGTGTTTTCCTTATATTGACAGAAACGTGCTTTCCAAATTGAACATCAATTTGGTTTATGAAGAATTATGTACTTTTGTTCAATGTGGTTGGTGAATTGCTTCATAGGATGTTGATTAAAGCTGTTGAATTGGGTCTATTTCAAGGGTTCTCTTTTGGCAAGACTCAAAATTCCTTTACTTTGTCTCATCTCCAATTTGCAGATGATTTAATTATTTTCTGTCGAGCTTCCATTACTCAGATTAAAAATGTCAGAAGAGTTTTGAGGATTTTTAGCTTAATGACGGGGCTAAATCTTAATTTAGCTAAAAGCAAACTTTATGGTATTAATGTGGAGAATGACATCCTAGAAGATTGGGCTACGGCTATTGGTTGTTCTACTAGTTCCTTTCCGACGGTCTATTTAGGCCTTCTTTTAGGGGCAAAAAGGAATTCAGAGAAATTGTGGGAGCCGATCATTGAGAGCTTCAATAAGAAATTAGCAGGGTGGAAAGCTTCTTCTTTATCTATGGTTGGTAGATTGGTGCTTATTAAGTCAGTACTGTCATCCTTACCTATCTTCTACCTATCTATTTTCAAGATGCCTTATATTATTAGTCAAAGGTTAAATTCTTTGATGTCAAATTTTTTGTGGGGCGGAGGAGCTGAGAAGTAGAGAATGCATTGGGTGAGTTGGAAAAAGATTTGTAATCCGATGAGTGGTGGAGGTTTGGGAGTTGTTGATTTGAAAATTACCAATCAAACTTTGTTGGGAAAGTGGGTTTGGAAGTTTGCGAATGAAAAAAAATCGATGTGGAAGAAATTTTTGTGTAGAAAACATAATGTTAGTTGTCATTCCATGGATATCAACAAGGTTCTCTCTTCTTTTTCCTAGGATTTTTGCCCTTTCATCAAATCAATGGAGAAATGTGGCTGATTTTGGAAGCTTTGATTCGAATGGATGGGAGTGGAATATTAAGACTATGAGGAATCTTTGTGATTGAGAAGTGGTTCAATTGGTAGAGTTATTGGATAGGCTTAAAGACATTAAATTAATTGATTCATTGGAGGATTGTTTGTTGTGGGATGGAATGGGTGAGGGGTTGTTTTCAGTAAAAGCCTGCAGGAAGTCTTTTTCTTCTTTTAATGAGGAAACATTTCTATGGAACAAGTGTGTTTGGTTGGGTTTTGTTCCTCCTAGAGTGGAGACATTCATTTGGCAAGTATCCCATCAAAAAGTAGTTGTGAGAGTGGAATTGAAGAAAAGGGGTTTCCTATAGAGGAGGACAGTTTCTGCTCTTTCTGTAATCAATGTGAAGAATCAATTCAGCATCTATTTATTTCTTGCCATGTTTCGTGGGAATTGTGGAACAAACTAATAGGCTTTTGGGGTATTCTGCTAGCTCTACCTGCTGATCCTTCCTCCCTTCTCTGCTCATGGTATGATTTGAGGCCGAATTCTGTTATTTGGAAGTTTATTCCAGGGGCAGTTTTATGGTCAATATGGAAGATTAGAAGTGAAATCATCTTTGAAAAAGGAAAGTTGGACAAATTTTCATTGTTTTTCATCGTTCGTTTTAGATTAGCGAAATGGTTCCTAGCAAAGTATCCCCTCCTCTCTATTCAGGTGGATTCGTTAATTTGTGATCCCTCCTTGGCAGATAATATTTATGCTTTTAAGGAATTGAACAGGCCTGTGTTATGTTGGAGTCCTCCTCCAGTTGATTTTTTTAAGATGAATGTTGATGGGACTGTTAGTAGTGTTGGGATGAATGCTGGAATAGGGGATATTCTCAGAGATTGGAATCGGACTAATCTTACTACTTTTTAAGAAAATGTTGGTCCTACTCCTCCCCTTCAAGCAGAATTGAAAGCTATCAAAAAAGGCATCGACATCTTTGTCTCTTCAGAATGGGTATCGAAGGGTAGGCTCATTATTAAAAGTGATTGCAAGTTAGCAGTGGATTGGATGAAAGATCAAGCTTCAGTTCCTATTTTTCTTACAAATTTTGTTAAGGAAATTGTGTCTATTGTTTCTGTCAAAGAGATTATTGTGAGATGGATTCCTAGGTGTTGTAATTGTGAGGCTGATAAGCTAGCAAAGGAGGGGATTGGGTGAATGTAAACTTTGTTTTAGTTGGTATGTATGTTTTAGAGTAAAGGTGTAATAGGAGTGTGTTTAAGTCTTATGTAATTGGTTCATCATCAATATATTGAGGTACTCTTTTCTTTCTTCCGCTAGTCGGTTCCTTCCTTAGGGTAAAGGACTACTAAGAGGGAGGTTTTTAATGAGGCCTCCTATTTCTATAAAAAAAATGTGCTTTCCTTATATTGACAGAAACTTCAATTTGATAACCATTTGGTTTCTTGCAGGTTTGTGGGTTTGATCTTTTGCGTTCAGATGGGTGCTCTTATGTTTGTGATGTGAATGGATGGAGCTTTGTTAAGAACTCTCACAAGTAATAATAATAAACTTTTCTTCGCTCTAGTTATTATTTGTGGTTTTTTATCACAGGTCTTCTCATTTGACAATGCCGCGTATTGTCTATAGTTGATGTATTTATTTTCTACGGTTCTAAACATAGTATGGACCATATCTGTCCCTGTTTATTTGTTGTGAAAAAGACTTAAGGGCTCTATTGTTATACAGGTATTATGATGACGCTGCTTGTGTGCTGAGGAAAATGTTTTTAGATGCAAAAGCCCCTCATCTTTCCTCAGCAATACCACCGACTTTACCATGGAAAGTAAATGAACCTGTGCAGCCTTCTGAGGGACTTACTCGTATAGGAAGTGGACTCATTGGTACATTTGGGCAGTCTGAGGAGCTACGCTGTGTAATAGTAGTTATTCGCCAGTATGTTGCTTCATTTTCCTTGCTATTTTTCCTTTGGTAAAAATCCTTGCATTTTACTCATAAACTATCCTGAACGGGCAGCGGTGATAGAACTCCCAAGCAGAAGGTGAAATTGAAGGTTACCGAGGAAAAATTGCTAAACCTGATGCTAAAGTACAATGGGGGAAGACCCAGATCTGAGGTGGTTATTTCCCTTCTTTATTACTTACCTTTATTATACAAATAGATTCTGTTTTCTAAGCAACTGTGTGTTCTTTTATCACTGATTAGACAAAACTTAAGAGTGCTGTTCAATTGCAAGATTTGTTGGATGCTACAAGAATGCTTGTACCACGTTACAGGTAGCTCTTCATATTTCATAATTTTTTCTGATCTAGCAAGAACAATTTATATTATCCACCTCCCCGCTACTCAAAACATAAAAAGGACTGAAAGCTTGAGTTTGTAATATATGTTATCGGACAGGAAAAGGAATTGCAACAAAGTTAGTAGGGTAGGAGTTCAGGTTTGTTTTAATGACGCTATAGTTTAATCACTAACTATTTGTTTCATGTTTTAATTGAATGAGAGAAGCTAAGAAGGTAATTAACATTCGATGGTTAGTTTAAAAGAGCAAATATTTGATTTTGAAAGCTGAAGCAAAGAAAAACAAAAGAAAAAAATGAGCTGAACCCTGGTAGTTGACAGAACTTTGAAGGCCTTCTTTCTTTCTTTCTTTTTATGTTTTCGGGTGGGGGTAGGAGGAGGCGTTCAGTGTTTACTACCTATAGCAATATCTGCATATGGTTTTTAATTTTTTTTTCTATAAAGGAAGCACTTAATCACTTGGAATTTTGAAATTATTTAAAGATCAATAATGATTTATCTTTGATCATTTATGGGATATAGACCAGGTCGTGGAAGTGATAGTGAAGCAGAAGATCTTGAGCATGCTGAAAAGCTTCGTCAAGTTAAAGCAGTACTTGAGGAGGTTATATATCTTATCTTGAAATGACTTGCTTTTTCAGTTTACTAGCTGTGCTACATTCATTTTATCATTTCTCTTAGGATGGTTCCTCATTCCTCCTCTATCATAAACTGCCATTTCTTTATGTAGATAATATCCTTTTTAAAAATAATAATAATGGGCTGGCTGTTGCATGCTAAATGTTCTTGATTCCAGGGAGGACATTTTTCTGGTATTTATAGAAAGGTTCAATTAAAGCCTCTTAAGTGGGTTAGAGTTCCAAAAAGTAATGGTGAAGGTGAAGAAGAACGGCCTGTTGAAGCACTGATGGTTCTTAAATATGGAGGTGTCCTTACACATGCTGGGAGGAAGCAGGTAGTAAATACGAACCTCTCTTGCATGTTTTCCTACATTACTGGTTCAAGTACTTGTTCAGTTACCCTCTAGCTTATAAAGAGAATCACTTTTTACTTGAGGAGCTATACCATCCCATAAAACTTAGAAAATTATTTGAATTTGAATTAAAGTAAAGGATAGTATTGAAAAGTTTTATATGAGAAGGGTTAATTAAGTTTGAAGTGGATACACTTTTAAGACATCCAAGGTTGGAAGGACAGAAATTCATTTTGGACATGGTTTAGAATTTAACTAACAATCTATTGCTTCATTTGTTTGTTTTCCTTTTCCATTTCTCTTCCATAATTTGTGTCTCAATTTCATGCAGGCTGAAGAACTGGGTAGATATTTCCGATATAACATGTATCCAGGTTATCAACAGTAGAACCTTTTATCTTTGACTGTTTGTAGTCTGCTCCTTGCATGGAATGAATGAGATCATTATAGATATTTTGATCTTTTCGGTATTCGCTCAAGTTAATCTTGACTCTTAAGATTTATGTTATTTGTTTGGTAGATAAAATAATGATGAATTCAGAAGTATGCTGCTTTTTTCTTGATGATTTTTATATAAAATTGCAGGTGAAGGTACTGGCCTTCTTCGCCTTCATAGTACGTATCGTCATGACCTAAAAATTTACAGTTCTGACGAGGGCCGTGTTCAGGTATGCCTTACTTAACTCATAGATGAATCAGTATATATTTTGATCTTTACCTGTTTGTGCTTCACCTCTGAACTAAGTTGCTAAAACTTATTGTCATTGCTGTTTGACATCATTAATAGGTTATTAAATCATTTAACAGATGTCTGCGGCTGCTTTTGCCAAAGGCCTGCTTGACCTTGAAGGGCAACTAACACCGATCCTGGTATGTAATGTTCCCTTAATGAGTGCGTTCTTCCTTTTAACACTGAATTTGTATGACTGAGTTGGTTATCTTTTAAGGTCTCCCTTGTTAGCAAGGACTCATCTATGTTGGACGGACTTGACAATGCCAACACTGAGATGGAAGAAGCCAAGGTTTTTATCTCTTCTTGCCCATGATTTGACAAGCTTTTTTTTTTTTTAAATGTTATCATCCAAGGTAATAAGCCGAAGGAAAGGGGACGTATGAAAAGAGGTAATGAAAGAGAAATCTGATTATTGCATTTAGGAGATCCTAATAGTTAAAATAAATTGAGTTTAAGACTTTTATGTTAAAGATAAAATTATATCTAAAGATAAAAGATTACAAATAATCCTAAGACTTTTACACAGCTAATTCTAACACTCCCCAGCAAGCTGGTGAATGGATATATATCATTCCCAGCTTGTTTAGAATTTCTTGAAAAAAAAATGCTTGTCTCCCCTTTGTAAGCACATATGCTAATTGATCTTTGGTAAAGATGAATGGAGTACAAATTAGACCATTGTCCAATATTGATGAAATGACTATCAACTTCAATCTGGTTTGTTCGATTATGTTTAACAGGATTATGAATAATATTGATAGTTGATTTATTATCAAAGTTAGGGCTGTAAACGAGCCGAGTTGAGCTCGACTCGAACTCGAAAAGTTTAAAATTAGGCTCGACTCGACTCGAAAACTCGCGAGCTAAAAATTATCAAGCTCAGCTCGAACTCAAAATATAATATTGAAACTCGACTCGAACTCAAAAAAAATTAGGAGCTCGATTGAAGCTCGAGACTCGAGCTCAATTGTAGCTCGATTTTGAACTCGATTCAAGCTCGAACTCGATTCAAGTTTGAACTCAAACTCGGATTTGAACCTACAAAAATCTTATATTACATTTAAAAATATATTTTTAAAAATTTATAATTATAAATAATGTATTTTTAATAATATAATTTTAAAAAAATCTAAAATTATAATATAACATTTTTTTCGAGTAGCTTGCGAGCTTTTCGAGTCGAGTATTAAGTAGTTCGTTTTAGCTCGTTAAGAATTCGAGTCGAATTCGAACTCGAGTCGAGTTCATTCGAGCTCGAGTCGAGTTCATTCGATTCGAGTGTTGATCGAGTTAATCTTGAGTAGTTCGCGATCTGTCTCGTCTCATTTACAGCATTAATCATAATAAAATCTCATGTATTCTTGCCACTTTATTCTTAACTCATCTAGGATTATCTTTAATAGTAGTAACTCACGTACTCCCAAAGCCATCGATCTATATTCTGATTCAACACTTGATCTTGCTATTACATTTTGCTATAAGGAGGTTTGCTTATGAGAAAAAGGCTATAATGTTATTTTTACAAGAATCAAAAGTGGAAGTTGAGTCCTGCGTTAGTGAGGAAAATGGGAGGAAAAATTATGATTAGTTCGACAGTAGCTTCTGCTGAAGTTTCTGTTGGTGGATTAATAACCTTGTGGAATGAGGAGTTTGTTGTGAAGGAAGAAGTCATTCATAGGAGATTTGTGGAAATAAAGGGGATTATGGAAGGAGTATCAGGGATTTGTTGTTTCATTAATGTGTATGGTCCGAATGTGAATGCAGAAAAGGAGTTGTTTTTTAGGGAGCTATTATCCTTTTTGGAAAATGTTGATTGTCCAGTGTGTTTAGGAGACTTCAATGTTGTTTTGTCATAGGAAGAGAAAGATGGAGGTGCTGTGAATTTGGTTTCAATGAATATTTTCAGAGATTTTGTGAGTAAAGCTAATTTGATAGATTTGCCTTTGTCTGGAGGTTGCTTTACATGGTGTAACAATAGGGAAGTTTCGACTTATGTGAGATTGGATCATTTCTTGGTAGATCCCAAGATAAGTCAAACACTGCAATCAAGGTCTGTTTCTTATCATAATATGATTCTGTTGGAGAGCAGTGAATGTAATTGGGGTTCGAAACCGTTCAGGATGTTTAATTATGTCTTGGAGGAGGATGGATTTGGTGAGATGATGGAGAAGGAGTTGGTTAAGCTATGTAAAGAAGAAAAGAGGAAGTCCATTTCTAATATGCTAAAAGGGGTGAAGGATGCAGTAAAGAGATGGTCTAGGAAGGGTTATCTAGAGCTGAAGCAAGAAATTCAGTAGGTTGAAGAAAGAAATTCAGGAGATGAAATTGGATATGCAACAAGGTATTTACACGGTGTCAATGAAATCATTAGTTGAAGCAAAAAAAGAATTATGGGATCTATATAAGAAAGAAGAATCGATTTGGTTACAGAAGTTAAGATTGGAGTGGAGTTTGGAAGGAGACAAGAACACAAGATTTTTTTATCAAAGTGCTGGAGTTAGAGGGAGGAGAAGCTGCATTAAGTTCCTCAAAGTGGATAATGAAGTCACCTTTGATCCTAGCTTAATTAAAGCTTCGGTGGTGGAGTTCTTTAAAGGGTTGTTTAACAAAAAAAAAACCTGGAGGTTGAGGAATTGGATTTGGAGTTTTTAAAACTTTCGAAAGAGCATAGTATGGCTCTTGAAAAGCCATTTTCTGAAGAGGAAATATGGGAAACAATTGCTTATTCAGATAGCAACAAAGCTCCTGGCCCTGATGGTATGAATTTAGGGTTCTATAAGAAATTTTGGCCAAATTTGAAAGAAGATATCATGTTGTTTTTTAAGGAGTTTTATGAGGGGAAGGAATGGGACTTGGAGGTGAATCATTCCTTCATTTCTCTTATACCTAAGAAGGCTAATCCGGAGGGGTTAAAAGACTTTAGGCCAATTAGCCTCGTTGGAGGGTTATATAAAATCCTTTCAAAGGTCTTAGCTAGAAGGCTGAGTTTGTGCATTAATGGGATAATAAGTTCGTCACAATTTACGTTTATTCCGGGGAGAAACATTATGGATTGTTCGTTTATCACAAATGAAGAATTGATTTTTGGAGGAAGAAAGGGTTGAAGGGGGCAGTCTTTAAAGTGGATTTTAAGAGAGCTTATGATTCGGTGGATTGGTTGATTTTAATGAAAATAATGGGTAAAATGGGGTTTGGTGATTAATGGCGTTCATGGATTTATCAATGTATGTCAACAACTTCCATTTCGGTTTTAGTGAATGGGACAACTACGGAGAAAATTCACACTGCAAGAGGATTAAGACATGATTGTTCGCTATCTCCTATGTTGTTTAATTTGGGTGGTGAGCTATTACATTTGTTGTTAGTTAAAGCAGTGGATAAGGGACTGTTTTCGGGTTTCGACTTAGGTGCTCATGATTGTTCCTTCAAGTTATCGCATTTGCAATTTGCGGATGATCTTATAATTTTTAGCAAGGCCTCTATTCGTGATTTGATGAATGTTAGAAGGGTGCTATTAATTTTTGAATTGTTAGCGGGATTGAAGTTAAATCTAGCTAAGAGTAGAATGTTTGGAATTAATGTTGAGGAGGAGGTGTTAGCTTCTTGGGCTAAGGAAATTGGTTGTTCAGTGAGATATTTTCCAGCGGAGTATTCAGGTTTACCTTTGGGGACCAAGAGAAATTCGATTGCCTTGTGGGAGCCAGTCGTACAGAGATTTCACAACAAGTTAACTGGATGGAAGGCAAATTCTTTATCGTTGGCGGGCAAGGTGGTGTTGGTAAAATCAGTGTTGTGCTCTCTCCCCATTTATTTTCTTTCTATCTTTCGAATTCCATGTACTGTGTTAAATAAATTAAACTCATGGCATCCTTTCTTTGGAGGGGTTTCGACAGATAAAAGGAACATTCACTGGGTGAATTGGAATTTGGCATACAAGCCTAAGAGGTTGGGGGTCTAGGGATTCCGAATTTGTTACTTTTGAACAGGGCTCTTCTGGGGAAATGGGTATGAAAATTTGCTTCAGAAAAGGGTTCTTGGTGGAAAAGGGTGGTGTATTGTGTGTACAATTGGGATCCGAACTCCAGTATGATTGGGAATACTTGGACAGCTTGTGCCTCTTGGATTTGGAGAGGAGTTGTTAAAATTTCTTTTCTAGTGATGGTTTTGGGGACTGTTTGAGGAAAAATATGCGTTTGAGAACTGGGAATGGAGAATCAGTGGAGTTTTGACATGATGTATGGTTGGGAGTAGTTCCCCTTAAAGATCGGTTCCCGAGACTTTTTGCTATTTCGAAAAATGTAAGGGGTAAAGTTGTAGAGTTCAGGGTGAATAATGCTTCGGGCTGGGTGTGAAAAATTCAAATGAGAAAGAACTTGGTGGATTGGGAGGTTGAACAATGGTTACCGCTTATTTCCATGTTGAATAATATCAATTTGTCACCTTATGAAGAAGACTGTTGGATATGGTTAGGGAATGGAGAGGGTTGTTTTTTTAGCTAAATCATGTATCAAGAATTTTTTTGATCAGGTTGGTAATAAGGGGAATAACAGTAATTGGGAAAGGCATATTTGGGTAGGGGTAGCACCTCCCCGTGTGGAAACTTTTGTTTGGCAAGTTGCACATCAGAGAGTGGTGATTAAGGAGGAATTGTTGAAGAGAGGAGTGGCTGGGATTGATGATCCCTTATGTCCGATGTGTGGTAGGTATGTGGAAACAGTTTCATATCTTTTTTTGCATTGTGAGGTAGTATGGGGTTTGTGGTATGGATTTTTGAATTTTTGGAATGTTTCTTTTGTGATTCCAAAGAATATGATTGATTTCATCATTTGGTGGGATGACCTACTTCTGAAATCCATTATTTGGAAATTCATTTCAAGGGCGGTGATGTGGACGGTTTGGAAATGCAGGAATGAGGTTATTTTTCAGAAAGGGAAGGTGGATGTTGTGATGTTCTTTCTTGTTCGATTTAAAATAGCTTCTTGGTTTGGTGCTAGATTTAATGATGTGCATATCCCTTTTGACTCCATTGTGGGTGATATATTATTAGTTGATTATGTGGGAAGACAAAAAAAGGGTTGTTCTCCTTCAACTTGGTGGGTTCCTCCTCCAGATGGGTTCATAAAGCTTAATGTAGATGGAGCGATGGTGAAGGGATGGGATAAATGAGGAATAGGTGGACTGATTAGGGATAGTAGAGGTATGTTGCTTGAATCATTTTCAGAAAAGGTTGGGGGTGGTCCTCCCATACTGGCAGAATTATTGGCGACCAAGAGAGGGTTAAGTCTTCTTGAAGAATCAGGATCTGCCCTAAGTCAGAGGATTATTCTAGAATCGGATTCTAGTACTGCATTGAAGTGGATTAAAAATCTGGATTTATGCACCCCTACATTTCAGTCCTTGGTGAAGGATATAGCTTCTCATATGGAAGGACATGATATTATTACAAGGCATATCCTGAGGGCTGCTAATTGGGAAGCGGACAAGTTAGCTAAAGATGGTATAGGTTGATTAATAGGTTATGTGTTTGGCGTGTTAAGGTGTAGGGAAATGTTTGTATTAATGTAGGGTGTTTGTTTTCAGTCTTATGTAATCAATGTTATGTTGTAACAGTAGGTTGTTTGGTACTGACATTGTATTATTGTTCTGATTAATAAATTTCATACACTCTTTTCCTCCTTCCAATGTCCTTCATGTTACTGTTGTAACATGGGGGTATGAAGGGGGTTTTTAATGAGGCCTAATTTTCTATAAAATAAAAAAAACCATACATAATCTTGCTTGGAGGTGATTTCGGGTGAATGAGCATGAGTAGGTGAATGTACCTGCTTGGAAACAATTTCTGGTGAGAAAACAATGGTAGGAATAGGAGATTCTACCTGTACTGATCGAGAAATTGGTGTCTTCTTCCTAGAATAAATCCACAATTGAATATTATTTTGATTTTACATATATTTCATCATAACTGACTTATTTGGTGGAGTAATGGGCTCAATAAGAACAAACTTAGTAATAAACCCAGGAACAAGTCTTAACTGCAAAGATGTAGATTTAGAATAATAATCAGGATCAAGGAGAGATGAATTCAGAGTGTTAGCTTCAATCCAAGTCTCATAACGAAGATAATTGGCTGGAAAAAAATCATCTTCAACAGAAATAACATCAACAATAAATTTTTTTTTCTAGAAGATGGGTGATAGCATTTGTAGCCTTCTTGTGTAGACGATTACCAAATGAAAATGCATTTAATAGCACGTGGATCTAATTTTCCCTAAGATGAGATGAACATAAACAAACACAGTATACTTAAAAACATGAGGAACTAAATTATGTGCGGCCGAGAAGTTATAATGGGAGAAACCCTAAAGCATTATATATAGAGGG